AAAAAAAAAGACAACTGAGGAAGAAAAATACAACCTAGTCTGTCAAGCCAGAGAACACTGTTACTTGTGCTCTTCTTGAACTTGGTTAACCTATATCCCTCTCCTTTTACTATTAAGAAAGAATACATACTTGCAAAATGGTTGAGAAATCTATCTTCTCTTCCGAAGATGTCTGAAGGTTTTATGATTGTAGCTTCTGGAAATGCATTTCTCACTTCATTCTCTCCAACAGCCTAAACAAACAGCCAGAAACAAAATTGTTCTAAATTCTGAGACGAGTGAACACAGCTTCCATTCTTTTCATTATCAGGACACTACTTGTATTTCAAAGGTCATATTTCCCTTGAGGTGAAGGAATAATATTATTCACAAAACTCAATCACATAGAATGGTAAACACACACACACACACTCTGCCTCTTCTAACATTCTTTTGGGTTTTTTCACATTTTCATACTGTAGGAACTGGCATTGAAAAAAGAAAGGAGAAAAGCCAGAGTAGAATCTTTCAGCCTCCATTTTTCCTCTTACTTCAAAATTCTGTGGTTTGTATCAACAACCTAGCAGTCTGACAGAGAAAGAAGAGCATGGTGGCAGTGGGCCAAAGTAAAGGAAGTGGTAGTAGTGCATACCTATATCCACAGAAGGTCCTTAACCTTCCTAATCTCAACTACTTGTTACCCACTACTAACCTCCTACTCAAGCTATTTTGTTCCAAGAATGCACTGGTCCCTAGATCTTCCTTTTCAACCTATAGCACCAATGTGGATGACATCAACGCCCATGTGGAATTGGACCTCTCAGATTCTTGAGTTTCTCCAATCTTACAATCTCTTCACTCCACTTCTATCACTCTCAACTTAGCTACATCACAGGCTTAATCAAGGTTGGAAAGTGACCTTCTTCTGAAACATTAAATGAAGATATGCTATGCTTAGATGAGAATCTCCTACACATCCAGCCTGTTTATTCTTGGTTCATCTACTGCTGGAACACCTGTTCCTCAACCTTCTCAGAGACTCTAGTCCACTAATTCTGTTTCCCCTATATCAACCCTGCCTACCTTTCCTGGCCGCCCATCACATACTAGATTCCAAGGCTCATCTTTTCAATCACTCTCTTATCATTATTGTAAAAACTTTGTCCCTATGTCCTTTACTCCATCCACCAGGCAAAATCTTTATGGAGGAATGCCATTAGCATCCTTTGAGTCATGTACTCCTGCTGCCTTTAGCAGCTAAAAGAAAAATAAATAAAAATCATAAATTAGAAGAACCATTATAAATCTATGCCATCAACTTAAGTGGGCCCTCACATTTCCCAACAATAGTGTTTTCCTCTAATTAACTGACTTTTCCCTTTGAGCATTTCAAGTTTTTTCTATTCAAATCTCGGACTCCCCTTTCTTTCCTCTTCTTTCCAAATGACTTCATCTTCTAAACTTAAGAGAAAACATAAGAGCAAAAGAAAACCACCTCAAGGTCTCACCACGAACAACCATTTTCTCCTCTGGCAACTCACCCTTCACTCACCTGTACTCGGTTTCCACTTCAACACTTGCACTGAAACAATTTTTCCTAAAATGACTTCTATGTCCACAATTCAAGACATTACAGTTCTCATCAATGGCGCTCATAAGTAACCCTTCTTCCTCCACTGAATTCTCTTGGCTTTCATAACATTGTACTCTCCTGTTTCCCTTCTACCTTACCTTGTCCTCATCTGTTCAGTCTTTTTGTTTGTTTTAATTTGATTTTTGCAGGTACCTATTCCTCTCTCAGATCACTAATCCCTAGTTTTCCTCTAGTCTCTGTTCAAAATTCTCTTCTGAGCCTACATTTATTCACTAGGCCATCTTATGCCCTCTCACTACTCTAATGACAAATGCTGGTGACTCCCAATTTCTATCTACAAAATAAACCTTTCTTCTGAACTTTTCATAAAGTCCTTTTACCAGTATTACCTGAATGACTGAGACATATGTAGAACACAACTGAAACCCAAGCCCAAAACCGAATCACCTTCCATTCTCTCAAGTAAATAGTGCCTCTCAATCTTTGCTGCACATTCCACCATCCCTGTAGATTCTGTTTTTATTTGTGACTGTAGTGCAGCCTGGACATTGAGAATTTTAAGAGCTCTCTCAGTGGATTCTAATGTGCAACCAGGGTGAAGAAGCACTGCCGGAAATCCTAGTAACTCTCAAGTATTTCTTATTCAACAGTGCCACCATCATCCCAGTGGCTAATCCAGAGAGCTACAAGGTTTTGACTCTTCTCTTTCTTACCACCAACATTCCCATCCCCTCTCAAACAACCGTGATATGCGAATCATTTTAGGAACAGTAGGGCAGAGGTAAGCACAAGTGCCTTCATGTTCATTTCTTCTTTCTTCAGCAGAGCATACAAGTGTAAGGCCTGGATGTGCTGTGGGCCAGTTTTGTGACTTTGAGAGACAAAGCTCACACAAGGAAAGTCAAAGAGAAGCAGAGAAGCAAAGCTGGAGGCCAAAAAAACCTTGGCAACAATCTGTGGTGAGGGTTCTCTATTGCTGGATTTTTCAGATACATGAGCCTATAAATTATCTTTGTGATTAACCCAGTTTACACTGGATTTTCTAATGCTAGTAATTAAATGCTCCTAACTAATTCGTGCACTCTCTTCCCCATTATACATTCCTGTAGCATACTTTGCTACTTTGCAACATTTAATACATCTGCCCTAGAAACTTAAATTTAGGCAAGGACCCTGCCTCTTATTCATTACTGTATGCAGAGTGCCTAAAACATGTGGCACACAGTGATTAGTAAACCATTTATTCAATAAGTAAATGCTGTGGGTTAAAAATTTAGAGCCAGTGTCAAGGCTTGTTTCCCTCAACAGTATGACTCAAGACAGAATCATTATGGTAAAAACCAAATGCTAAGAGCAATAGGACAGCAACATCCCTTATGAGTCCTTGATAATGAAGACATTTCAGGTTATAGTCTGACTTCAAACCAGAGTAATCAAGCTCAGTATCATCTGGACTACATGTAGTTTCTGGGAATAAAAGAAGACCCTATGTGAAGAGCCCTTTTCCCTGGCAAGTGTCTGTCCTTGTCACTCTCAGCCTTCATATCACCCATGAAAGAATGGCATAAACCCATGACTATGCAAGATATTTGAGGGAAACAGATGATTCTTTCCCACAGTAGGTAACACAGGTATGCCTCCTTTAGCAAAAATCATACTCTACCTTTTCTGATCTTTTCTGTGTAATCAAAGAAACTTTAAAGTATCTAAGAGCAGGTAATAATACACTCTTTGAAACCCTTTAGCATTCAAACAGAAGGCACTCAATCAAAATGTCAAAACACAACACACATGCACATCTAATTCTGGATACAGAGAACTAGAAACCCTTTTAATCTCAAAACATTGATGAGAAATCATTCTCATTTACACCATGCTTCAAAGGAACTAAGAAACTCTAGCTCTGTGAAGCCCCAAATCAACTTGTTACTTACCTTATTTCTCAGATATCTAGAAGAGCTTCTAATATTTGCATTCAGATGGGAAACATGGATGAATTTTTCAACTCCAGCTTCCTTAGAAATTTGAGCTATTGTTTGGGGAATCTTCACAAAGACATCCTCAAAATCAAAGTTTCTAGAAGAAAACAAAAGGGATTAGTTCAGAACTCAGACAGGATTTCAAAGCTTTTTGTGATAAGCTGGTTTTCACAGAAGTTAAACTTTAAAACAGTAATGATTTAACTATAAGCCAAGATTAATGCTTTTATAGAGCTTATAGGCCTGATTGCTGTCATTACTATACAGTTGAGACTTATTCTGAGTTGCAAATCCAAAAAAA